TTCCCGTCTCGCAGTTTGTGGGGCTCGATGGAGTCAGAGCTTTTCTCCACTCCTACTCACATGAGGTTTCTCTCACCACGGACTCCAGAAAGAGCCAATTCAACTTTCCCAGATCAAACTATTCAAATACTCTGACCAGTCAGCAGACCTGTGAGATAAAGGATCCTCTGTCAATATCGGGAGATTTAAAGAATGGCGATGGCGAGCAGAAATTTGTTCAAGTGAGTTTGCTTCTGTTCTTATTTTTCTTTTTAACCACGTTGATGTGTTTTAGGAGCCAGAAATATTATTTATTTATTGTAAAACTCATCGTCTTTTTTGATCCATCACGCATTATTACCTTGTATTAGAGTGATCCCACTTTCCTTATGACCCTCTACTTCCTTTCCCTCTTCATTAGGGTAGGTTTTTTGTTGTTGTTTGTTTGTTTGTTTGTTGAGCCTTAATTCATGACTCAGGTTCAAGTAACATAGCAAATCTTCCAGGCAAGCGTGATGTGTACTTTTTTGTTTACACACAATTAGATCTCGATCTTCATTGCGGCTTTTCGACGTTACTACAATTCAAACAGGAATACCAGTGTAGCGTAACATATACAGTATTTTTAAAGGGAACTACAATTGTTTGTTGGAAGGAAGGATCAGTTTACAGAGGGTCTTATAACAACTCCAAGAAACCTTTTTGAATGAAGCTTCAATCTCCTCAGTTACGTATATATTATGTTTACTTGTTTAGTTTCAGATAGGTGTTATTAGATCTTGACAATCCTGTGCTCTCTTTACATCAAAGTACCATAAATCCCACGAAATCCACCAGACCAGAATTAGGCCGTTTACACGGAAAGATGACTGAAAAGGTATTTTATTTTTGAAGGAAGTTCTGAAGAGAAATAATTTTGTTGTGCCAGGGCCCTGATTCTGGATAGGGAAATTTTGTAATAATAACAATTTCATTGCGCTTTTTGTTAAAATCAAGCCACTTTGGTGACAGAACATACAAACTACACAAAAAGCAGACAAAATGGAAACCCATACCATTCAGCTTTCCTAAATTCTTTTTGTGTGTTCGTTATATATTCTTCTACCTAAGGATGGACGAGGGAATGCATTGATCCAAACGAATTTCCATTGCCCTCTCTGTACCTGCGTCCTGGCTTTTATCATATCATTCGAGCTGCAGTTCTCCGGCAGAGACTCAGAGTGCCGCTGTTGGCCAATACGGCGCGGAGCTGCAGCCGGAGATCCATTGGAGCCGGCTGCAGTGTGATTGTTCAATCACATAGTGCAGAGCGGAGACAAACGCGCACACAGCCTCGATGCTCAGAGAAACCTTCCATCGGGACTCGGATGCACAACTGGAGTAATAAAGGGATTTTATTTTATTTTCATCGCTGGGAATATTTACAATACAGGCTGGATTTTAACTACAGGATCTAAACGGAAAAAAAGAGAAAGGAAAAGAGCATAAGTGCAAGCGAGTGAGATGGAAACCGGACACATACAGACCGGATGGGCAGTCACACGGCAGGTACTGTTGTTTCCTTTCTTATTCTCTTTGTTCTGCCGGGCGGTCTCGGAGCAGATTCGTTATTCGATTCCTGAGGAAATGTCCAAAGGTTCCTTTGTGGGGAATCTCGCTAAGGATTTGGGGTTGGATGTCAGAGAACTGCCGCAGCGGAAGCTCCGTGTCAGTTCGGAAAAGCAATACTTCAGTGTGAATGTGGAAAATGGCTACCTGTATGTGAATGGCAGGATAGACCGGGAGGAGATATGCGGGGAGACACCCCTTTGTGTCCTGACATTCGAAACGGTGGTTAAAAATCCTTTAAATATTTACCTCGTGAATGTCGCAATCCAGGACATTAATGATAATGCCCCGTGGTTCATAAAGAGTGACATTGATCTAGAAATCAGCGAATCAGCACTGCCGGGTGCGAGATTTCGACTAGAATCTGCGCAAGATCCGGATTCTGGGATCAACTCACTGCAAAATTACCAACTCAATAAAAACCCCTCCTTTACCCTGGCAGTGAAAGAGAGCCCAGATGGCAAAAAGCAAGTAGAATTAGTCTTAGAAAAGTCTTTGGATCGGGAGGAGGAAAGTTCCCACCAGTTAATCCTGACGGCTCTGGATGGTGGAGATCCAGTCAGATCTGGGACAGCTAAGGTTAGGATTAAAATTACTGACGCCAATGACAACCCCCCTGTATTCACTGAACAGATCTACAAAGTCAGCCTGAGGGAAAATCTACCAAAGGGCTCCTTAGTGTTTCAAGTGAAAGCCAGTGACAAAGACGAAGGTTTAAATGGCCATATATCATACTTTTTCGACAGCATACCGGAAAACACCCGCAAATTATTCCATTTAGACCCTGAGAATGGAGAAATTACAAATACAGCGATCCTGGATTTTGAAGAGAAAAATGAATACACCATGGAATTGGAAGCCAGGGATGGGGGTGGGCTGACCGATCACTGCAAAGTTCATATAGAAATACTGGATGAGAACGACAACGCCCCGGAAGTGACGATTTTATCAGAATCCAGTCCTTTTCCCGAAGACTCACCGCCAGGAACAGTGATAGTTCTGATCAAAGCTCTTGATCCAGATGCCGGACAAAATGGAGAACTTAGTTGTAGTATTCAACACAACTTGCCTTTTAAAATAATATCATCTTCTATTAACTACTACAAGCTCCTTACAGACAGCACCCTGGACAGGGAGAGAACTCCGGAGTACAATATCACAGTCACAGCCACAGACAAAGGCTCTCCCCCCCTCTCCACCCAGAAAAACATCCTGTTGCAGATCTCAGATATCAATGACAACGCCCCTGTCTTTGAGAAACCTTCCTACAGCGC